AGCAAGAACTTGTCACGGGGACACCCTCCTCAGGAAGCAAAGATGAAGCCGAGCTCTGGAGGAGGAGGAAGAATGGACCCCTTTAGAGAGGTGGGGGAGTGGCCGTGCAGCGGCTGTGGTGGGAGTAGAGGGAGGTGCCTACAGGATAAAGGGCTGATGGGAGTGCAGGGCCCGGGTGGAGGCTGGGCGAGGTGAGCTCATCTCAAGGGCAGGCTCTATCCGTGGCCAGGCCCAGTGGGTTTTGCCCTCAATATCTTGAATCTGCCTCCTTTTCCAGCAAAACACCACTGTCTCCATGACAGACCCCAGAATGTCTTCAGGCTTCGCTGGTCACCTGGACCCACATTTGCCTCCTCCCCTTGGCTTCTAACACAGCCCCTTCTGGTTTTCTTCCTGCTGCTTGGATAGATCCTTTCTGTCTGTCCTCAGCACTCTCCTCTAGCCTTGGCCGTTTCCTAAACATTTGATTTCCCTCATGAGAGAAAATTCTAAAGACCTCTGAAGTTCACCCACTCTTCTACCTCATCCCTCATCCACCTCCACCAGCTTAGTTCCTGACACTGCCTTTTTTTTTTTTTTTTTTTTTAAGGTTTTTGCCATAGGGCACGTGTGCTCACTGGAGAGAGACACAGAGTGAGGGCAAGTGAGAATCGCTCCCAGGGTTGATGGCCGTACTGCAATCTCTTCTCCTCCATTCTCCTCTCAAAATTCTGGGCATGCACAGGCACACGCACACGCACACGCAGCCGCTGGGTGTGGGAATTGAACTGCATAGCTGGATCCCGTTCCTGAACCACCGCGTCACCCGCTCGCCCCAGCCACCATCCATTTTTGCTTTGATGATGGCAGCTGCTTCAGTGGTACCCTGCCCCTGCTCTTTTGTCCTTCCAAATTAGGGCCCTCTGTGCTGCCAGAATGAGCTTCGTGAAACATACATTACCACATCACATGGAGCACATCCCACATCACGTCCCATCTTAAATCCTTCCAGGGCTTCTCATTCCTCGTAGGAGAAAGGAAAGTGTCTTCAGTGAGGCCTGCAAAGGTCCTGCCTCCCCTCCTGTTGCCTCCACTGATGTCTTCAGTGGGATCGTGGGGCACAGCCTCTCGCTTGGATTTGGGAGACCCCATAACACATGTGCAACCGTCTCTGAGGGTGAGAGTAATGCTGCAGCCAGCTACCCTCGTCCTCCTCCTTCGATCCTATCGACTTCAGTCAGAGCAGGTCTTGTCTGTTCATCCTTGCCTTGTTTTCCTCTGGAGCACGACACCCTCTCCTTTTTTTTTTTTTTTAAGAGAGAGATTTTTGCTATAGGGTGTGGGGTGTGTGCACTTGCTGGAGAAAGAGACGGAAAGCGAGAAATCACCCACCGGGGAGATGGCCATGCCACAGTCATTTCTCCTCCATTTTCCTCTTGGGATCTTGAGCACACATATATACATGCTCGGCATATTAAGCAGCCGGGTCCAGGACTTGAACTGGGGTGGATTATTTGGGAGTCCAGCAATGTAACCATTACACCACCTGCTGGTCCCTTGACACCCTCTCCTGACTTCTCTTAGCCAGATGGTTCTGTGCAGGTGTGTAGCCTGTGCAGATCTGCCCGATTGAGGATAGTCATGGGTCAAATCACTCTTAGGGGACCTGGTCTGTGTTTCTACAGATTTCTGTGCTTTCTCTTTGTAGCCATGGAAATAAAGAAGTCTTTTCCTGCCGGGGAATCCAGCTGGCTGTGGACTGGTTCAGGGACAGAGGACACACCTCCATCAAGGTTTTTGTCCCATCCTGGAGGAAAGAACCACCAAGATCTGACAGCCCTATCAGAGGTATATATGCTCAGGGTACTGGGATTGTGCCTGTCTGTGGCTGCACTGCTCATGGTGACAGTTCTCCATTGGTTGTCAGTGCAAAGCTGTCTGTCCTCCTCGCTGTCTGGAAGCCCATGAGGGTGCCGACTGCGAACTTTGCCTGCCCTCCTCCTGGCGCTCCACCATTCCTGGAGCATGGGAGGTGCTCACTAAGTTGTCAAGTAGATGAATGAACGATCTTTCAGTGTAGATGATTATTGTGTCACAACTTTAACACTCTGAAGAAGTTGGATCTGCGTCCCACCCCAGTAGTATTCAGGAGCTAAAAGAGATACTTGATATACATATTAAACACCTAGTCTGTGGGGAACCAGCAGTTAGCGTAATGGCTATGTCGCTGGACTCCCACATAGTCGACTGCAGTTCACGTCCCAGACCCGGTGGCTTAAAACTTACACCGGGCACGTGTGCGTGCGTGCCCAAGATCCCGAGAGGAGAATGGAGGAGAAGGGATTGCGGCGTGACCATCCCCCCTGGGGGGTGATTTCTCGCTTTCCGTCTCTATGTCTCTCTCTGTCTGGTGAGCGCATGCACCCTATAGCAAAAAAATCTCTCTTAAAAAAAAAAAAAAAAAAACCAAAAAACCAAAAACACCTAGTCTGATCTCATAGTTAAAAAAAGAGAGAGGGACCAGCAGATGGCGTAATGGTTACATTGCTGGACTCCCAGGTAGTCAACTGCAGTTTGAGTCCTGGACCCAGCAGCTTAAAACTCATGCTTGGTATGTGGGCATGTGTGCCCAAAATCCTGAGAAGAGAATGGAGGAGAAGGGATTGCAGCATGGCCATTGCCCCAGGTGGCGCTTTCTTACTTTCTGTCTCTGTCTCTGTCACGCGCACATGCCCTATAGCAAAAATCTAAAAAAATGAGAGAGAGAAAACAGGAAACTGAGACAGAGAATTCTTTATTTTTTTCTTTATTTTTTAAAGAATTATTTTATTTAACTTTATTTGTTAATATTATTTTCCAGAAAGACAAAGAAAGAGAGAGGAAAGGTGAGAAAGCAAGCCACCAGATCCAGGACTTGAACCATGGTTGGCCATGTGGGAGTCCAGTGCCTTTAACCACCATACCACCTACTGGCTCCTCTTTAATTTTTTATTATATATATATATATTTTTTAGTTTTGCTGTAGCACACGTGTGCTCACTGGAGAGATAGACAGCAAAGAGGGAAAGTGAGTGGGCACCCCCTAAAGAGGATAGCCACATTGCAGTCCCTTCTTTTCCCTTCCCCTCTAGGGATTTTGGGCACACACGCTAATGTGCCTGGCATGTTTTTCGGACCATCTGGTCCAGGACTCCAAGCATGTAATCAGTCATGTGGAATCTAGCTGCCTCAACCACCATGCCACCAGCTGGCTTTTCATTATTTCTGATTCCTTAATCAGCTAGTAATGTATTAACCTACAAATATTAGATCAATGGGAGCAGCAGATGGTGTATCGGCTATGTTGGTGGACTCCCATGTAATCAACCATGGTTTGAGTCCCGGACTCAGTGTCTTAAATTCACGCTGGGTGCATATGTGCATGCCCAAGGTCCCGATAGGAGAATGGAGGAGAAGGGATTGCAGCGTGGCCATCCCCCTGGAGGGTAATTTCTTACTTTCTATCTCTCTGTCTCTGTCTTTCTGGACAGCACACGTACTCTATAGCAAAAACCTCTCAAAAAAAAAAAAACATATTAGAACACTGTGGTCTAAACAGACAGGTTTTATTTGATTTGCTGTTCAGCTTTCTATGACAGGAAGGCAGATGCTAAGCGTTGTTGGCACTGTTTCAGCTGTGTCAGCGGTGTCGACCTTGGTAGGGCTGACCTCTCGGTGATTCTGGAGGTTTCCTTGACTTTTCTTCCAGCCTTTTAAGCAAAGGTCTTTGTTTTGGGTTTTTAAAAATTCTATCAATTGTTGGGACCAGCAGGTGGCATAATGGCTACATCGTTGGAGTCCCACATCATTAACCACAGTTTGAATCCCAGACTCGGCAACTTAAAAAAACTCACACCAGGCATGTGTGCCTGTGTGCTCTAAATCCCGAAGGGAGAATGGAGAAGGGATTGCAGCATGGCCATCCCCCCTGGGGGGGTGATTTCTCGCTTCTGTCTCTCTGTCTCTGCCTTTCCAGCAGTGTATGCGCCCTGTAGCAAAAATCTCTCTCTCAAAAAAAATTCTATTAATAATTACCCATTGATTCATGTTCCCTCTCTTATTATCTGTTTTCTCCTTCAATAAAAGGCTATTCTTGAATTACAGGTACAGCATCTTCTTGAGTATCTCTATCCTGATAGAGACTTTCAAAAAATTTCTCTCAATTTTTACCATAAATCCTATCTATTTGTTTGGGGGTCAGTTCTCTTTCTCTTACCCCTTCCCCCCTTTAGGGCTGTTAGGTTTTCCTCTCAGAAGTGTTTACTGTGGGGGTGGCCCCATAGCCTAGTGGTTAAGGGAGCTGGATCCCACAGGGCCAATCATTTGAATCCTGGCCCTGGTGGCTTGAGAAACACGTGCATGGGTGTATGCATGTCCCATGTCCTGATGGGGTGGAGAGATGGAGAAGAAGAGATTGCTGTGTAACCATGTCCCATCGGGAGGGTAGTGTGTGTACTTTCTCCTCTTCCTCTCATTCTCTGTCTCCCTGCCTCTCTCTGTCCAGCTCTTGTGCCCTTTGGTAATTAAAAAAAAAAAAAAAAGACAAAAGATAACTGATTATTGTGAATGAAGAACTAGACGGACCGAGTGTAATCCACGCAGTTGCCACAGGGTTTCTCTCCTAGCACGTGGCCCTGTGGCGTGCTGGCACAGCTGCCCCCTCATGCTGACTGGTGGTTTTTACCTTGACATATCTGGCAGGGGGCAGGCAGGGAGCGCTGCTACCTTCCGCATAGCTGGTGTCCAAATGGCCATGGTTTTGCTCCAGGTGGTCAACCGCTGCAGGGGAGGCTCCTCCTTCTTAGATGTGTCTCTGCTTTCTTCCCAGCGGTGGGGCAGGACAGCAGCAGAGGTCTTACCCTTGGCCACCTGACTGCGGCATCCCTCCCTGCCCCTCCCCACCGCCTGTAGCTCGGGACCCTCACAGGAAGAGCCTCTCACCTCCTCATCAGCTTCTGCAGGCTTTCTGGGCTCTGGCTCCCTCGTGGCTGTGGAATCAGTGTGGTCCTGTCTGTTTTCTGTTTTCCAAAAATCTGCCAAAATCCAGGTCTGCTATCCCCAAGCTCACTTTTACTGCGAGCATGGATCTCCCTGCATCCTCCTTTACCGTCATCTCAGTGGGATTCACTAGAAGGAGGAGGGATAAATACTTGTGTTCAATTCTCCATAATGAACCTGTTGCTCCAAATAATTCTCTGTGGTCTACATATGAAGAATGGTGGCTTCCGGAGCTGGCAGGTGATATGGCAGCCGAGGTGCTGGATTCTCACATGGCCGGCTAGTTTGTGTCTCTGACCTGGTAGCTTGCTTTTTCACTTTCCCTTACTCTCTTCCTGGTCAAACTAACTAAATAGAATAAAATAAATAATTTTTTTTAAAAAAAGAATGGTGGCTTTTAATAGTTGTGTAATATTGGGGACCAGCAGATGGCATAATGGTTATGTCGCTGGACTCCCACATAGTTGACTACAGTCTGAGTCCCGGATCCGGCAGCTTAAAACTCATGCTGTGTGTGTGTGTGTGTGTGTGTGTGTGTGTGTGCGCCCAAAATCTCAAAAAGAGGATGGAGGATAAAGGATTAAAGTGTGGCCATCCCCCCTGGGGTGGGGGGTGATTTCTCACTTTCTGTCTTTCTTTCTCTGTTTCTCCCAGTGAGTACATGTGCTTTATAGCAAAAATCTCTCAAAAAAAATTTAAAAATTGTTGTGTAATATTTAAATGTAATATGGGCAAAGAATAGGGAAAACAATATCTGTGGTGGTTGTTTTCCCTGGGGCATTTGTGTTTGCTGTGGGGAGAAAGCCAGAGCGAGAGAGTGAGAAGGGCCCTCCAAGGGGGTAGCCACTCTGCATTCCCTTCTCCATTCTCCGCATGGAGTTTTAGGCATGCACATGAACCTGGTGTGTCTTTCCAGCTGCCGGGTCCAGAACTCGAACTGTACAGTTGGTCATGTAGAATTCAACTGGCTTAAACCTCCATGCCACCTGCTGGCCAGGGGGGAGAATTTTTAAAGAAGTCAAAGTAAGTGCCAGTCTACAGAGAAAAGATGAATAAGTCTGACTGCATGAAAATAAAAACTGGGCCCAACCCTATAATCTAGGGCACTGGATCCACATGGCTAGTCACCGTTCAAATCCCAGCCCTGGTGACTTGGAGAATGTGTTGGGCACATGTGCGTGTGTGCCCCAGACCCCAACAGCATGCCGAGAAGGAGGAGAGGGAATTGGGGTGTGACCACATCTCCCTGGGCGGTACTTTCTTCACTTCTTTCTTTGTCTCTTCATCTCTCTTTCTCTGTCTCTCTATCTCTCTGGTAAGCACACATACCCTCCTCTGACAATTAAAAAAATAATGATAATATGGAGGACAGCAGGTGGTGTGGTGATTAAGGCTCTGGATCCCACATGGCTGACTCTGCAGTTTGAGTCCTAGACCCAGTGGCTTGAAAACCATGCTGGGCTCCTGTGCACGTAGGTCCCAAATCCCAAGATGATACTGGAAGAGAAGGGACTGCCACATGGCCATTCCCCCAGAAAGAGGGGGTTTCTCACTTTCCTTCTCTATCTCTGTCTCTCTGGCGAGCACACATTCCACACAGCAAAAAATAAAAAATGACAAATAAAAAGTTGGGTCATTGGAAAAGTCATGATGCATTTTTGCATAGAAAAAATATGTCATGACTTTTCCAATAATCCAATATGTGTGTGTGTGTGTATATATATATATGTGTATATATGTATGTGTGTGTATAGCTATATAATAATTAAAAAATGAAAGCGTCTATTCATCAATAGATACCACAAAACCATAGAGAAGAAAAGACAAGCTTCCAACTGCAGGAGGCTACACATCACACGTTACTGACGAGGGAGTGCTGTCCAGAGTCTACAGAGAACTTCTCCAAATTAATGGGACAGAGACAGTGAACCCATAGAAAGGTGGGCTAAAGCATGAATAAAATTTTCTAGAGGAAAAAACATAAACGGCCAATAAATATGTGAAAAAATGCTCAATTTCATTAGTAACCAGAGAAATGCAAACTAAATCTAACATAAAAGATCATATTAGGGACCAGCAGTTAGCATAATGGCTATGTCGCTAGACTCCCATGTAGTCGACCATGGTTCGAGTCCTGGACCTGGTGGCTTAAACTCATGCCAGGCGCATATGCGTGCATGCCCAAGATCCTGAGAGGAGAATGGAGGAGAAGAGATTGCGGCATGGCCATCCCCCCTGGGGGGTGATTTCTTGCTTTCTGTCTCTCTGTCTCTCTCTTTCTGGCGAACGCACGTGCCCTATAGCAAAAAAAAAAAAAAACTCAAAAAAAAAAAACCAACTCAAAAAAAAATCATTTTATATCATGGACTGACAAATTTAAAAGCCTAAAAGTGCCAGGAACCAGCAGTTAGTGTAATGGCTATGTCGTTGGACTCCCATATAGTCGACCGCGGTCCGCGTCCCGGACCTGGTGGCTTAAAACTCACACCGGGCACGTGTGCGTGCATGCTCAAGATCTTGAGAGGAGAATGGTGGGGTGATTTCTTGCTTTCTGTCTCTATGTTTCTCTCTGTCTGTCTGGCGAGCGCACACGCCCTATAGCGAAAACTTCTCCCAAAATAAAAGCCTAAAAATGCCGAGGCAAGTGGTCTCGAACACCGTGCTGGGTATGTAATTTGGTATAACCACCCAGAGAAACAATCTTGCCTCATCTTGTAAAACGCCGTTCCCTGTATCTTAGCAACGCCCACTCTTAGGACACACCCTAGGGAGGCCCTTGGACTTTTGGGCTAAACTAACAGCAAGGAGCGCATCAGCATGACTCCACCTCACAAACGCAGTGGTAAATGAAAAAAGCAAGTTGCAAAAGTATAGTGTACTTGAAGTACAGTGCAGTTCCACTGAAGTGAAGTCTGGTGTGTAACCACATGGAAAATGGACCTCATAATCCATAGTTTTAAAGTGAGGGAATTATGAGCTCAATCTTCTGAAACTTGGGTTAACTTATTATTATTTTTTAATTGCTAGAGCAATGTACATGGGGGTGGGGAGAGAGAGAGAGAGAGAGAGAGAGAGAGGAGGCAGGGTAATACAGGGCACGGCCATGCTGCAATCTTTCCTCCTCATCAGATGGGTGTTTTGGGCGTGCATGCACATGCACCTGGTGTGGTGTTTGTTTCTAAGTGAAGCAGCTTTCAGCTTAGCAGGAGGAAGAACTTTCTTTCTTTTTTCTTTTTAAGGAATTATTTTATTTAACTTTGTTTATTTATTTTAATTTGACCAGAGAAAGAGAGGGCGAGAGCGAGAAAGAAAGAAAGAAAGAAAGAAAGAAAGAAAGAAAGAAAGAAAGAAAGAAAAGAAAAGAAAAGAAAAGAAAAGAAAAGAAAAGAAGGAAAGAGATGGAGAGTGAGAAAGCAGCAGCCAGGTCCGGGACTCGAACCACAGCTGGCCATGTGGGAGTCCGGTGCCCTTAACCACCACAGCACCTGCTGGCCCCCTAGTGTGTTTTCAAACTGCTGGGGATAAGATTTGAACCATACTCATCTATGTGATTTGGTTCTCTTAACTGCTGTGCCATGGGGTAGCTTGACTGTAGATTATTTAAAAAATTTTTTTTTGCTATAGGGCACATGCCCTTGCGAGAGAGAGAGAGAGAGAGAGAGAGAGTGTGACATCACTCCCCAGGTAGTGGTTTTGGGGCTGTGCTGCAGTCCCTTCTTCATTCTCCTCTCAAGATTTTGGGAAAGCGCGCACGCGCGCACGCACACACACACACCTTGTGTTTTTCAAGCCACCAGGTCTGAGACTCAAGCTGTGCAGTTGGCTGTGTGGGATCCAGCCACCTTAACCACCATGTGGCCCAGGCTGCAGATTCTCAATTCTGGACTCTTCCTATCTATAGTCTTGAGTCCCCCAGAGCTGTCAGTTTCAGGATGCCCCACCCCAAAGGTATCTGCAGCAGAGTCCTGCAGGGTGGGGGAGAAGGAGCCCTGGTTCCCAGATAAGAGCCCCTGTAGGAGCCTTCCAGGAAGAGGCAAGGGTCCCAGTCATCGCTGGGCATGACCAGGGTTCCAGTGAAAAGAGCATTGTCTTTCTCCAGAAGCAGACCCCGTGGCTACGATGCTGGGCATGTAACCCTCAAAAGGACAAGAGTCGCAGCGGAAATTGTCCTTATCACGTGACTGTCCCTTGTTGGGTGCCATCCTCTGCATACCTGTGATAGGATGTGCCCTCCAGACATGGGCCTAGTGAAAACGGTGAACGTGATGTTACAGAGCCGTGGCTTTCCTTCCCCTCGAAACCTCCCTGCTGACTGGCTGCAGAGGTGGAGGTGGCTCCGAGAGGACCCCTGGGAAGCTTCTGGGTGATTCCCAAGGCAGGGGCCTTCCTTCCTGAAAGTGGTTCCGCGCGTCTTTCCCTGGCCCCCAGAGCAGCAAGTGCTGGAGGAGCTGGAGCGGCAGGCGGTGCTGGTGTACACGCCCTCCCGCAAGGTGAGCGGCAAGCGGGTGGTTTGCTATGATGACCGCTACATCGTCAAGGTGGCCTACGAGCAGGACGGTGTCATCGTCTCCAACGACAACTACCGCGACCTGCAGAGCGAGAACCCCGAGTGGAAGTGGTTCATCGAGCAGAGGCTGCTCATGTTCTCCTTCGTCAATGACCGGTAGGGGCCAAGCGGGGTGCCCGTGCAGGGACTGGGGGCTGGGCGCCCCAGGGTGTCTCTGTCTCTTGGGGTCGCCTCCCTTTCCTGCTGGCTTTCTCTGTGAGACCTTTCCGTGCTGGGCTGGAGCACCCCTGGCCGTGCCGTTCCCTGGCCACGTCTGACTCACCACCAGTGGCCCAGCACGCAGGCCGAGCTCACACCCAGGACATCGTAACTCGTGTTGTTTTGATTTAGATGTATACTGTAAATAAGAGCATTGAAATAGCCATTAATGGGGAACATCTGAATTTCACTATTTCCTATTTCTGCTTTTTAAAAAAAGGTTGAATTATAATTAGGGGCAGCAGAATCTCTTATTTGGGGCTATATATATTTAACCATTCACTTATTTATTTAATTTTGTTTATTACTGTTATTTTTAAATTTTCTACAAGGCACAAGTGCTTACCAGAGAGAGTGAGACAGAGTCAGAGAGAGAAGGAAAGTGAGAAAGCCAGCCGCCAGGTCCAGGACTCTCGCTGTGGTTGGCCATGTGGGAGTCCAGCACCTTACCCACCAAACCACCTGCTGGTCCTGGGTTGTAAGTTCTTAACCTGCCTGGAACTGTCTCCACCTCTCAGTGGAAATGTTCCAGAGAACCTGGCTGGTCCATTTGGCCCTAGATGGGTTCCCCTGGGTCAGGCCCACCCTGGACCAACAACTGCGTGTGACTGGGGGCTCGGAGGGACCTGAGGGGAGGCACAAAGCACATGGCAGTGCGGCAGGAGGGCCGTGACCCCTCGAGGGTAGAGAGCAACCTTGTTCGGGGTGCTGAGGGTAGTGCCTGGCACCTGGCAGGGTGGATGTGGGGACAAGGTGGCTCGGGCACAGAGGCTGGATGTCATTCCATTCTGACTTCCGTTTCAGCTGGAAGAGTGTGGCCCGCACTTGGGCCATCTGAGTGGCTCTTCAGGGTGTGGTCTGAGATGACCTCCCCAGCTCTGAGACATGGGCTGCATCTGTGGTGCCTGAGGGGACACGATGCCATGTCCTCAGCATGCCTAGCACACAATAGTGACAGTAGCGACATGCCGTAGAGGCACAAAGGAGTGAGGGAGTGCTAGAATGAGGGGCTGCTGGCGGAGGCCCTGGGGAGAGAGGAGGAGGCACTGCGGCCATTCCCAGGGCCTTCACACAGGGACCCAGTGGGTACTGTGGGCAGAGCGGGGCTTCAGAGCCTGCCAGGGAGGGCTCCAACAGAGGCCCTGCGGCCGACCAACTGTGTGTCGTGGGAGAACCACTCAACTTCCCTGCACTGCGCGTTCTCCACAAGGGATTAGCGGTTACCCCTGAGAACGCGGTGAGGATCAGACTCACCCAGAGAGGAGCAGTCATTCCTGGGCTAGGCCAAGCCGTGGTGCCACAGGCGGCACTGCCGTCCCCACCACTGAGGAGGAGATGCCCTCTGGAGCCCCAGGCAGATGCTGGCAGCTGTCGCTCTGCGGTTACCCCTCGTCACTTCTGGATACACACGGCCAGTGGCTCTCACGGTCCAGCTGGAGGAACCTGGCAAGTCTGGTAACCATGGGTTCCAGAAAACCTCGCTGAGGTCTGTGGGTCACGGCTGCCTCTGGCCTGGCGACAGCCTGGGGCCTGGGCCAAGTCCCTTTGGAGCCCTGGCCTCTGCTAAGAGCCTGCCAGACAGTCCCCCAGCTGCCCGGGAGCGAGGGCACCCGCCCCAGTGACCCAGACACGTCCACAGGGAACTCGTACTAACTGCAGCGTGCAGCTCCCAGAGTGCTGGCCCACGCCCAGCTCCCAGAAGCCGCCGTGGAGCTACAGCCAGCCCTGGAGGCTGTGCCTGACGAGGGATGGCCCAGCTCTCTGTGGGAAGGGACTTCAGACCACTCTGACCTTCAGGGATACCAACCCACAGAAATAGCCCCTTTCCCTCCCAGAGGACACAGCCCCTCCCACAGAACCGTTGTAGGCCTGAAGTGCCCTCTGGGAACAGACGTGTTCGTATCAGAAAGCAGGGCTCGCTGCTGAGAAGGGTTCTCCCCCAAGGACCCTTGTTTCCCCTCTGGGCCCTCAGCACCCTGGGCGAGCACCCCTTCCTTTGCAGGACTCAGAGGCAGGGTGGACAGGGCCGGCAGGGGTGTCAGAGAACCACTTGTCTGGAGTCAGGGCCTGGAAGCTGGATCCGAACCCAACCCCAGGGCCTGCCACAGAGGAGGAGACCATGTCTGAGATGGGGCCCTGCTGGCAGGCAGTGCCTGGGACCTGCGGCTTCCCCGGGTCACTGCTGGGACTGCGGACCCTCTCACACTGATCATTCGCAGCATGGCCAGACCTGTGTTTGGCATGGGGTGAGACCTGGGAGGAATGGGACCTAAACCTTGGGGTGCTACACACGCGGAAGCCTCCTGGGAGGTGTTTGTTAACCCCGCGGAGGATTCAGCTGCTTATTTCCAGGGTAGGAGCCAGGGGCACTCTGGAGTAATTTCGCTTCTGTTTTCATGGATAAAAGTCACCCAGGAAGTCGTCAGAATACAGACTCCTGAACAGAGGAGAGTCTAAGTAAGCAGGTCTAGTGTAAAGTCGAGAACGCACTGCGTTTTGTGTTAGTGTTTGCTATAGGGCACACGCCTTCACCAGAGAGAGTGACAGAGAGAGAGGGAAAGCAGCAGGTCTAATGTAAAGTCGAGAACGCACTGCGTTTTGTTTTGTGTTAGTGTTTGCTATAGGGCACACGCCTTCACCAGAGAGAGTGACAGAGAGAGAGGGAAAGCAAGAAATCACCCCTCAGGGGGTGGCTATGCCACGGCCCCTATCCTCCATTCTCCTCTTGGGACACTGGGCACATGTACCCGGCAAGATTTTTAAGCTCCCAGGTCCGGGACTTGAACTGAGCAATCAGCCATGTGTGATCCAGCAACTTAATCACCACGTCAAGGGTTGGTAAAAATGCATGTTTAGCAGGTGGCTGGGTGACCCCCACCCTGCTGACTTGAAGCAGGAGAAGCTCCTTAGAGGCCCGGACTGTGCTGTGCTCTGCGGGACTTGGTGTGAAGGGAGTATTTGCTGCTTTGAGCTGCTGGGACCAGAGCCCATGCTGCTGGGCACTTGGGCCTGCTCCTCCCGTACAGGTGCTGGTGGCAGGTCTCAGTCGGTCCCGCAGTGCCCCCTGTGCTTACTTTCCAGATTCATGCCTCCTGACGACCCCCTGGGCCGCCGCGGACCCTCCCTGAGCAACTTCCTGAGCAGGAAGCCACAGCCCCCAGAGCCGTCGGGCCAGCACTGCCCCTATGGTGGGTAGCACCCAACGTCCGGTGGGCCCTCCTCAGGGCCTTGCATGGGAGCAGCACAGACCACAGTCGAAAGCCCTGGCCTGGTGGCCAGCAACCTGGGTTCTAGCCCTAGTTCTACCTTTAACCAGTTGTGTGACCCTGGAGAGGTAACGCAGCCTCTCTGGCCTGCCTTTCCTGGCCTGGGAGACAGAGGATGAGATACAGGAGTCGCACAGCATGGCGTGTCTGAGAAGCGGGGGCGTGCACGGCCCAGCTCCTGGCTCTCAGTCTCTTCACTGGTCCCAGCACATCGTCCTTGCCCTGCCTTGCAGTCCCCTCACCTCTACTCCTATGGGCCTTGGTCAGTGCCATCTGCTGAGTTAAGGAGTTGGCCCACCACCCCCTGGCGAGACCAGCCTTCTAGCTACCTCTTGCAACAGCTTGCTTTGGCAAGGTATCTAACATCCCCAGGTCTTGGCTTTTGTGCTTACAGTTCACTGAAGCCCTGGGTGACCTTCAGAGTGATTTCTCAGTAGGATTCAGTCACCCTTCATTGAGGCCGTCCCACCCCTTTTGCTCTCAAAAGTGCCTGGGTTAGGATCAGACCTTACTCAGTCACCTCTGTTAGGACAGCACGCAGGCAGAGCAAGCAGTGGTCAGCGCAGGGAGGTGGGCAGTGGGGGAAACCTAGGTGCACAGGGGCTTTGATCCCAGCCATGGGCACCCAGTCCGCACTGCCATTTCCAAGGCTGACCCTACTCCAGGGGTGCCTGCGGAAGTGGAGGCAAAGGGCACTGGATCCAGAGACCTGGGCTCAGTCCCTGGTCAACAGTTCTCAGACCGGCACTCTGCTGACCTGGGGTTTGGTGTGATCGGTGCACCCTTCCCCAGCCCGGGGCACTTCTCCCCACCTCAGTCTTGCACACTGATCCTGAGAACTTTCAGGGCGCTGTGGCTGTGGAGTCTGCGGGGATCTGGGCTCCTGCTGGGAGGCTTCCAAGGAAGTCTGCAGCCAGCGTTTCGCGGTTGCACCGCCTCTTGGTGCCCCAAACTCACCCTGCGCCCTCTCTGCCCCTTCCAGGCAAGAAATGCACCTACGGCATCAAGTGCAAGTTCTACCACCCGGAGAGGTCGCGCCACGCGCAGCTGCCGGTGGCGGATGAGCTCCGCGCCAAAACGCTGGCCTGGCCGGGCCGGGGTGCTTAGGAGCAGTGGCAGTCCAGTGCCCGGGGTGGCCCCGCAGGAACCCGGCCAGGTCCCCGCGACTCCGGCGCGCACGGCCTCCCTCCCGCGCGCCCGCCTGCGGATCTGGCGGCCCTGCGAGGGAGCTTCTCGCTGCTGACTCTTAGCGACGACCCGGGGCCACTCCAGCCGAGCCCCTCAGGCCCCACCAGCAGCCTCCCATCCGGGCTATGCGGTCGGGACTGGGCGCCCATCTCGCCATCCCCGCGGGCGGGCCGAGCTGCCACTCCAGGATCGCCCTGGCTCGAAGCGCCGGCGCCAGGTCTGCCCGGCCTCCCCGGCCCGCAGGGTCTCGTCTCCCAGCTCGGCCCGCTGGTCCTACCGCAGGACGGACACTGTCCCGGGGACCCGCACGCTGACCTGCTTCCCCTGAGCAGGCCACCTAGCGACTCTTGGACCGCGCCACAGAGTTCCCATCGCTTTCGGGGCCGTTCCTCCTGGGCGGAGCCGACCTGGGGCGACGGCGCCTTTGGGGACCCTCCGGGGTACGCAGCCGCAGACTGCAATTGCGTTTGCGAGGCGGAGGCGCGCGCCCGGGCACGCACGGTGCTCTGCAGCGTCTTCCCGTCCGCCCAGGTGGACCGCGTGATGGCCGCGTTCCCCAAGCTCTCCGACCTCGCCAGCCTCATCCTCCTCCTGCAGAGAGGCCAAAGGGCTGGGGCATCACCCGCTGGAAAGCCTTAAGGGCCTCGTTCACGCCACCGCAAGGAACAGGCTTGCCTTGCGCTTGGGCACATGGTCGGGTCTGGACCTCTTCCTGCCCACGTGGGGCCCCTTTCTTTAAAGATGCCTTATCGTCATCGGCGGGGGGGGGCGCCCGGTGGCGCTGGAGGACCCCCACTGGGGCTGGGGCTGCTCTGAGGAGGCCCCCACCCACGTCTGTGGAGAAGTGATTTCTGTTGTGGTCCCACCCACCTTGCTCGCCCAAAGCCTCTCTTTTTTTCACCCATCGGTCATGGCAGTTTTCACAACAGACTCCCGGCTGGCCATGCCTCTGAACCAGGCCTCGCAGCTAAACCAGATTGGTGAGAAACCTCCAGGCGGGTCAGCAGAGCGCGGGGAGGATCTCAGTCGGGGGATTACTGCCACTTTCCCCCACCATGTTTCTTAGAGATCTGACTTGGGGAGAGAGGGCCCGCCCACATGCAATGGGCGAGAAATGCCAGTGTGTGGACCTAGCATCCTGAGGGAACCCTGGCATCACCAGGTGGCTTCCACCTGTTCCCTTTATCTGCCAGCACTCCAGGTTGTGGCTCGTCCATTCATTAGGGAACTTGGTAGGTGGGCCCTTCAGGGCAAGTGTGAAGCAACTCCCAGTGGAAAACCAGCGCCCCATCCCCAGCATCTGAAAGCTTCCCGCAGTCTGGCAGGCAGAGGGAAACTGCAGATTAATGAGGCTGCATGTGTAGCTACAGGGTCGTTAGGCTTCCTCTGATGCCTTTTGTATTTTTTTATTTGCCAGAGGGTGCATGCACTTGCTGGAGAGAAACAGAGAGAGAAGGAAAAGGAGAAAGCACCCCAGTGGGGTATGGACATGCTGCAATTTTTCTTTTCCATCTCTCTCTCTCTCCTTTTGGGATTTTGGGTATGAACATGCATGTTTCTGAAGCCACTTTGGCAGATTGAGATTCGAACCACCGGCTGAGCCATGTGGGATCCAGCCATTTTAACCACCATTTTATAGACTGGCCTGTCCTTTCATCTTTTTGTTTGTTTGTTTGTTTAGTTTTTTGCCATAAGGTGTGGGTACTTGCCAGAGAGAAAAAAAAAAAGTGAGAAATCACCCCTTACTAGGGCGGCGTGACCATCCCCCCTGGGGGGTGATTTCCTGCTTTCTGTCTCTCTGTCTCTCTCTGTATGTCTGGTGAGCGCACACGCCCTATAGCTAAAACCTCTCCAAAAAAAACAAAAACAAAAACAAAAACAGATTGTTAGCAAATCTTTGGGCCAGATCTGTTCCTCATCTTCTTTTTCCAAAGAGGACACTGAACCCACAATTTTACCTTATCTTGGGACCTAATCTGAAGAGGACCTGCACTCTAGATAAACTGGGTTTCCTCCAGATGTATCTGTGAGTGCGTGTGTGCACGTGTCTTCTTTTTGCCAAGAAATGCTTCCTCCTAGAGCTGCTCTCTGTACCCCTGGTCTATTTCCTGATGTGGAATCTCCGTATTGCTGATTCCCAGTTGGAAATGTTTAAACCGCTTCCTTTGAGGATAAGTTTGAGTTTTAGTAAGCTGTAAAGCTATTTTATTTGGTTTACTGTAATTGAGACAAATCAAAAAAAAAAAAGTGAAGAAATGGGACATTTCAAGTATAATCCCCCTTTGGAATTCTTCCAAAGTCATAGTATGTCTTTGTGACACAAAAACCTGGAAGGCATGGGTAAATGAAATGTTGGTAGTTGCACAGCTGTTACTGTGCTCCAAAATAAATCACTGTCAACACGCCTGGGCTCTTTATTGTTCAACTGAACATCAGTTTCTCCTATCGGCTTCCCCCCTAGACTGATTTTTCATGTTAAATATTGTGGGTTTGAAGACTGGGGTTATGGCCAGTTTCGGCAGCTGCTATTCAGTGTTATTCTCTTCTTGGAATGGGTGAGGGGACTAGATCCACCTTTCCCAGGAGAAGCTGCTGATGTTCGGCAGACCATTCCCCAGAGCACAGGCTGCACGCTTGTTCCCCAGCTTTTTACATCGTAGTTTCCAGAACTGTGACATAGTCTCATAAAAGCTGTCATCTTGTTTAAACCTGAGCAGAGTTTTCATTGCCCAAATCGGAGGACCCAGAGCTGTCTGCTTACCCCGGTGCAGCTTTCTCAGAGGCCTCTGGCTTCTGGAAGTGTTTTGAGGCAGAATTAGAGAAGGTTGGGGTCTCACGGGTAGAGGTAAGAGAAGCCACTCCTGTGGGCATTGTTCCAGATAAAATGCACCCCAACCTGGATTTTACAGAGGACCCAGATGGGAGCAATGAGCTAGCTTCCGGTGGCTGTGGGTACACTTGGGATGAGGCCAAGAGGCTGCCTGTCTCCAGAGAAAAGCACACGTGTGTGGTGGGTGGGGAGAAGGCCTTAGGGTGGACATGAGCCGCAGAAGAGGCACTAAGGAACAGAGAAAACACAGAGGGGCTGATGGGAAAAGGTGTTCTGGGAACTGGAATTGCCAATCCCACCATGAAGGATGCATGGAGCCCAGAGCAGCTCCTTGATTTGTGGGGCCCTGGGCAAAATTAAAATGCAAGGTCCCGCGTTCAAAATGGTTAATTTCAAAATGGTAACAGTGGAGTACTAAACCAAGTGGAGTATTGAACCTTCTAAGTGCAGGGTCCAGTGTAACTGCATAGGTCACACGCCCGTGAAGTCAGCCTTCATGAAATTACCAGAAAGACAAGTGAGAGAACATTCTCAATGCCCAGAGTGAAAGGAGCCAGAGCCCGACGCACACTCTCTCTAGAGAAGGCCATGTGCGGTTAGGGTAGGTGCCGGGCCCCAGCCTACACCTGCGCCGTGAGCCAGACTCCCTTCTCAGACTTCTCAGCCATCCTTCCAGGTGCTGAACACTTCTCGGTGGTTCCACTGCACCCTTGTAGAGGCTTCGCTCTGGCTGTTATTTGTTCAGAATTGAACTCTGCCCTTGCATTGAGGCTGGCCTTCCCTGAGTAGGCCGTGCATACTCGGGCGGCTGGGATTCTGGCTTAACCAGTTTTGTCCATCAACCTTGAAATTGGACAGATGCAGGACAGCCCTGGACCGGAGGCTGAGACTGCGGAGCCTGCTCTGTGTGCTGCTCGCCCATGTGGGCTGGGGCTGTGCGTGCAGAGACCCCAGCCAAGGGAGGCTGTCTCCAGCTTTAAGCGGCCTGAGTCGGGAAAAGCGTGTCCTCAAATGTGCAAAATGGCCCCCAGAGCTTCTGCCAGGGAGTCATCGCTGCTCCTATTTCATTGGTCACACAAGTCACGTGGCAGCAATGACCTGGGGGCAAGAAGAAGCGATCCTGCCATCTGTCTGCATGTGTTAGGGCGCCTTAGGACAATGGCACTTGGGACCATTTGCTGTGGTTGCCTGGGAGAAATAGTTTTTCACTGAAAACCCAGGAGGAGTGAATTAAATGAAGTTTTAAGATAATATTTGGAAGGCCATTAATGGCGTAGAAACTGTTGATCCTATATTAAAAAGAACAGCAGGTCATGAAAAAGGAATGTACTGAATGATTTCTTTTTTGTCAGGAAGCGCACACTGTATGTACAGAAAAAACTAAAGGAATGTGTGGAAGATCACCAGAGTATATCTGGGTGATCGGGCTATAACTATAGGGGACCGCTCTCACTTTTCGTCTCTGTATGTTTTTCTAAATCTTCTGTAGTTAATAACCTCGGCAACAGGAAAAAAAAAAGCCCTTGCTAAACAAAACACACTGTTATTCAGAAAATTCAGGCACCACGAACTCATGTGCGAGAACCCCAGAAGGTAGGACCCTCTGGTGTCGTTCCACACACTCAGCTGGGCGAGAACGCATAATCCCTTCACTCCTCAAGGTTTTTGTTTGTGTTTTAGATTGTTGCCATAGGGCGCATGCACTTGCCAAGGAGAGATGGCACGAACCCCTCCTCCCCCTGGAGGTGGGGGAATGGCCTTCCCTTTCCTCCATTCTCCTCTTGGGATTTTGGGCATGTGCGCACACGTGTGGTCCCAGACTTGAACCACGGAGTCAGCCTTGTGGGATCCAGCGCTTTCCCACTGAGCCACCTGCCGCCCCCCATCCCTGAGGTTTTATATGGGCGCTCCAGGCTGAATCCAGGAACCAAGTCAACGCAGGCTAGATTAGCAAGAGAAAAACACACACATTTTATCAGTTTTACACGGACACGGGCGTCTCCACTAGAGTATGAGGTCTGGAGAGGTGGCCCAAGTTAGTCACTTTTATACTTTTTTTTAGACAGTTTTTTTTT